ATGAGTGCAGTCTCTTCCCCTCCATCCCTCCCTCCCTCACTCTGCCCCACCCCTTCCCTTCCCTCTGTCTTCCTCTACCTATCTGATAAAGTGAAACAAAGTTTATATTTCAAAACATAATTCAGTTTAACACAACCACCCTGAAGCAGGAGTGCACCCTGTGGAATTTCTTGAATATGAAAGAGAAAAGTAGGAAGAAGGGCTCCAAAAGCACCTTCCACAGAGTTCATACAGAAACTAACTTAGTTAAAATCTTCGCTAACATGTTAAAAACAGCCCAGGCACCTTAGTGTGAAGCCTGGCCTTGGGTGCCACTCCTTACAGATGGCTCATTCTTGCTTCCACATCCAGCAGAGGCTCAAGTCCAGGTACCTATGCGGGGCTTCATGGCATCCTCCTTTTACCCAAGAGACTTGAGACTCATTTTCAGAAACGTTTCCTCATCTCCCACATGGCATCTACATGAGAGGAGAAGGAAACAGCTTGGACCAGCATGTCCTAGGCTGCTTCATACATACGCCATCGCCAGATGTGAGAGAAAAACCTTCCCCTAAGTTAGACCTTATGTTTCTAAAGGTTTCAGATGTAAAGTCAGCATGGCATCCTGCATTCTGAATTAGCAGAGTGTGCTCAAAAACCCTCTTTGTGAACTAGCAGGTGTGAGACTCAGTAGGCTAGTACAATGGTAAAGAGACACCAGCTGTGGTGGGAAGAATTCCCACATGGATAGTAAGAGTCTAACCTATACATACACACCCCATGAAACCTTTTCCCTAGAATGTGCAGCAAACACATGAATATGCAGATGAGGCAGAAGTCAAGGTTGAGATGTGCAGGGAGCTGGTCATAAGGTCATCAGAAAGGAGATTATCTTGAATGGTCCTGATTTAGGGGAAATGCTGCAAGAGACCCTCAAAGAAATAACTGTTCTCTTATGAGACAATGTGTGGTAGAGTCTGTGGAACAGTAATGCAGGGCAGACTCTACCTGTTAACAAGAGTGCCTGGATGACAACAGGCAAGAAAAAGGGAACCTCATTTGTAAAGGTATAAGTCTGCCAATCACTGCTTTAGGCTGGAAAGGAATTTCTGCCCTCATCTGAGAGCACAGGTCTAGCTGACTACTTGCTTATGTCCTTGTGGGCCTCACAGACAAGGACTCAGTTGACCCACCCTTAGAGGCTGCAGCTACAAAGGGGAGATGATAAACCTCTATACTGTGATGATCATCACACAGAAATGGAACACCAACATAGGATACTTGGGTCCTAAGCATATATAATCAGGGAAACAAGAGTCTATATCAATAGCAGGTGAAAACCAAAGCAAGACCAAAGAGCACAAATCTTTGGGAACTTGGGAAAGGAGTGCCCAGGATGCTTCCCTCACACAAGCCTTATCAACAGGACTCACATATAATAAAGTGCATTGCTTTCTATCAGCCTCCAGTGACATTCTCCAAACCACAACTCAGCAAAGACTTAAGGAGAGTTGTGCTGGCTTCTGTCCTAACTTCCTGTGCCCTTTGCCCAGCACTATGTGTGCTGTGTTTCTTCCTACACTTCTAACATGAAGAAAATAAAATCATAAAAACAACAAAACCCACATTGACAATTGTCTCCATAAAGAAATAGTTTCAACTTTAATAAATTTCTTTAGCTCTTTTGATCAGGCTATAGAAGAATATGTAAAATATATACAAATATTAATGTTTTGATGATGTTAGGCACCACCTCCTTGATGGGGTACATCAAGTTACAATTTGTCTTAGTAACCACAAAGAGAAAGAAGCATTCTGTCCAAATTTAGATACGACTGGAAAATGTAGGCTAATGCACCATAATGTTTGAAATGAACATGCTTTTATATCTTCCAAAAAAGAAAAATAACTTTTCATCAAATGGTATTTAGTAACAAATATTCATACTTAAAAAACTAGATTTTTTTTCTAAATATGTCCATAATGTTTGGTTGTTATAGTTTCCCTTTAGCATTTATGATAATATTAATATATTTAAAGCCAATATGGATTCAGAAAAGCTACAATGTACTAAACAGTTAATAAAAGTAGCTATGTAACCATGAGCTATATATTATGATGATAGTCATATGTGCCTGTGGGATTTAAGTGAGAAGTGTTAGTCCATGTAATGAAGCAAATAAATTCATTGCAATTATTTCTTTCTCTATAAATGGGGTATATGGATTTAACAACTGAAGGGCTCTTAGCTCCTCTGTCTCATTACACTCCAGTTAAACAAACTAGATGTTTCAATATGTATACTTTCATTATAATTTCATTTAAGCAGTATTTGATTTCCAATAATGTTTATAAACTACATATCTGAAAGTGAAAAGAGAGTTTTATTGTACAAATCAACAGAACATCACTGAGTGATAAAAAAATAACTTCTCCACTGTCCTGTCACACCATAAATAAGCAGGATAATGCTGTAGACTTCTGGAGGGAATATACTCTTGTCCACTGGGGAGACGTTTAAAGAATTCTCTCAGTTCCTCCAACATTTTTAATTTTGACAGTAAATTGGTAAGGGTAATAAAAATCTGTGTATTGTTTAGGGTTGAAGGGAAAATTTTTCCAGGATTTTTTCTCTTTCTCTTTATTAAAATTGTTTAAAATAAGACTAAAACACATATGAGAATGGCTATAAAACATACTCCAGAAATGAAGTAGAAATGGATGGAGTCAACTTAGTGTAAATGGAATAAAGTAACAATATGAATATTTCCCCAGTTTTTAATTGCAAAGGTAGCACTTTTGTTACTTTAAAACTTCCATATAGCCTTGTCTCTCAAAAGAAAATAATGACTTTTACAAATGGATCAAGAGAAAGGGGAATGTCCATAGGAAAAAGTTTCAAGACTATTTAATAAAATCGTGTCAGCAAGAAAACATGTCATAATAAGATCAACTAAACCTTTAGCTGGAAAAGTGATATTCTCACAATTCTAGATTTAGTAAATTCTGTGATTGAGAATTTAAATTTCAGGATATTCAAGTCATCATGCAATAAAGAAAAAGATTAAGTGAGAAAATGACAATCTTTTTTGTAATGAAGTTTCTTGTAAGAAAAGGTTATTTATTAAATGTTATAAACAAAATCTTGCCATTACCAAGCTCTGCATTCCTTACTACTTGGGAATACTGGAATTTCAGGCACACTGAATCTCTCCAAGTATCCCCCAGACCCTAGGAGTACAGACCAGCCATGGCTACCAAATAGCTTTAGGTATTTTTTTTTACTTGAATTAATTGTTGGTATATGATGAACTTCTCAAAAAAGGATTTAAATTTTTGTAACCTTTGAATTTTCTATTCTTTAACAAGAACATATATTGGAGAGATTCATACACACATAGAGAGATATACCTCTCCACCTGTGCATGCCTGCTCATCATGAGAATCAGAAAAAGGCCACAACCTCATACCACAGACCCTTTGATTAGCAACTGAAACCCAAATGCCTCTCAGTAGTGGATCCTGGGGTTCTGCTGGGATGACTTGGTATGCACTGCATTCCATTCAACTTTAAATGACAATGACATAAGCAAATCACTATCTCTAATAACATCACCTCCAGAGCATTCACTCAGGACCAATGTTTAGAGCATCTGGGTTTGGAATATTCAACTTTAAGAACTGCTATCTGCTCAGAACTGCTCTTCAGTGGTCCTGGCTAGAGCAGCTGGCGACAGAAATGCTGACTTTAGTGGTTGTGGCATTGACCAAGAACTTGAACTTGGCCTCAAATAATTTTTTATTATTGTCATCTAATAAAACCCAATATCCAGTAGCTATCACTAATTCACACATACTTCCTAACATCAACTAATATAAAATGGGCAACTCTAAAGCTTATTTTAAAAGAACAGCTACAAAAAAAAAGAAAGAAAAAAATGAGCACATTACCCTTGATTATGCTGAATTTCAAAAAAAACCAAACAAAATCAAATTTTACCTTTCTGTCATGTAAAACTTGCCTAAGTCTACCAAAAGGTGAAAATATTGTGTCCTGCCCTAGAAGTACATCCAGAGTGCTGGTGTAGGGGTGGAAATAGATGTGAAATTTCACACCGGCGTCAGGAGATGTGTGTGTATGAGTCTTGTGTAACAGAAAGGAAAGGGGACAAGAGCTCACAGAAGCTACCTACAATGAGGACATGGGTATTCTGGTGGAGCCTACTGACAGCATTTGTTACAGACAGCAAGATCCCCTCCCTATGCTCTTGAAGAAGGAACCTGAAGGAGAGAGAAGACCTGACCGTGGTCCTGAAAGATCACAGGCTATTTCCAGAAAGACACAAAACACCCTATCTGGATGAACATTTTTTTCCCCAGTCCAACCAAAGAAGTCAGATATTCAATACTATTTATTGTCACAAAACTCTGAAACTGCCTGTATGGTCGAGCCAACCTTCACAATGTCCAATTCTTCCTTCCTCAATAGTCTTTCCTGGAGTGTCCTGGTCATTTCAGCATTAAGAGAGGGGAAGCTGACAAACTCCCAACACACAAAGTCTACCTGCCGAGGGCTGGATCTCCTTAGGATTTCTTAAACTCGAATGGGAAGTCATAAGAGTCTAGAAAACCTCCAAACTCTAACCCGGGCAGCCTCGGAACTCCAGAAAAAAAAAAAAAATTAAAGTACACAGCATCTCCCCCTGCACCAAATTCCTCAACGCACCACACAGTACAGGTCCCACCACGAACAACTTGTCAATCATTCTTCAGACCTGTGATCCAAACCTAGGCAATCAAGGGGACCATCTACAACAATACCAGGTGCTTTTATGACCTGTATGTGAGTGTGCGAAGAGGTCTTGTTTTATTGTTTATTTTCCTCCCCTGAAAGATACCCTGGCTACCCTGGCAAGAAAAGAAGGCAAATTATTGTGCGGGTGAAATCGGGGAAGTGGAAGCAAAAGTCCAGGAGAAAAACCATCGTAGGGAAATGGGCAACTCCAGCAAGCCCCACTTACGTGTTCCGTCGAAACGGGTGGCGATGGTGTCCAGGAAGGTGTTCTGTGGAGCCAATAATCCTTTCATAACCGGCATTTTTCCAGCTCGGTGTGAAATTCCCCATCAAAGTTTGTCCAGAGGGATGGCTCTGCTGGAAAGTACCAAGCTTGGAGAAGCCACCTGGAGCGTGATGACGGCAGGGGCGGGGGGCCAGGCGTTCAGAGGATGGGGCCAGGCAAGGAAGAAGGGAGGGTGACAACAGAAGGAGCTACTCCCCGGCCGCTGAGCCGCAGCCAGAGCAGCCCTGGATCAGCACTCTGGACCCGCCTTCTTCCAGGCTCCGTCCCCTCCTCCTCCTGCAGGGACACCCCCAGACACCCCCACCGTCTCTCCGTAGACCAGGGGAAAGTCCACGGTGGCCCGGGGCTCCGCGCCCTGATCTGAGCTGTAGGGTCGTGGAGCTTGGTGCCCCACCTGGGTAAATTGTGGTGCTGAGCCTGGAGTACTCCAGGGACGCTGAGAAACCGAGAAACGCTAGCCAGCCCAACTCCCCACCCCCCAGGAGCCCGGAACAAAGACCCCTTTGTTCCCGCTGGGTCCCTCTCCCTGGAGACCAGAGGCCAGTGGGTGTGGTGTCCTGGAGAGGAGGAGATAGGTCGCCGCAGGTAGCCCGCCTCCGCCTAGAACTTGGGAGGGGAGGCCCCCCACTGTGGTGTCCTAGGTAGCAAAGGCAGCCTGGGGCTTCCAAGGGAGGTGGCCCCCTTCCCCTGCACCTGCCATTCCCAGCTCCAAATCAGATGGGCACCTACCACCCCGGTCACCAGGGTCTCTCCAGCACTGGAAAACTGACCCCAGCTTGAGATTTTTGCGACCTCTCCTTCCTCAGCTCTAAAAGGGAATTCAGGTATCCTCCCCTTGACAAATTCTCCTTGCTCTCCCCAACTCACCCAAACTAAAAAGGAGGGAAAGACCCCCTTAAATCGGCAATGGTTTCCTACTCTCCCGTTAAATGTGCATAGTGTTTCTAGAAAAGTTTGATATTTTTATTGATTTACAAAATACATGGAAGTAACAGAGGAGACTTTTCTGAGTAAAAACTGCTTCTATATTATCCTCCCCTCCCCACCCCC